TCCATCTTATCTTATCTCTCCTTCCTCCTTCTCGTGAGGGGCCCAGCTGCCGCGGGCGGGCGGGGGGGGGGGGGGGCAAAATGTCCCATGCCCCCCACTGGATAAAACATTGCCTCTTAGGTATTTATTACTTTTTTTAAATTCATTGATTCTGCACGTTTATGAAAAAAAAAAGATTTCTTTTATGATTGAAATTGTAACAGAAAATATTGAAATGATCGTTACTTAGTAAGTTTCGCATAAAATTTTAGAACACATTTTCTCACAGCAATTTAAGTATTAACATGAAAAAGTTTATAGACTGTAGTGATGTTGATATGATACGAAACATGACTCATTTCTAGAAAAATTTTCACGTCTTACATGACAAGTAATTAATAGCTAACGTGTATAAGATACAAAGCATATATCGAGTCGGATCACTGGTATTTATTGTAATACATGGAGAGAAAACGTTGCCGACCAATCTCCGAGAGAGAATGACATAGGTTAGAAAAATCACTTGAACTAATTATGTAAAAGTGATTCGTGCAAAATGTTTTCCATGATCGTCTTACTATGTTCAAGTGTATCCTTTAAAATAATAAATAAGTAAAATTAAAAAAAAAAAAAAAGATGAAATTTTTCGTGGTTTATTTAAATCATTAAAAGAGAAAAATTTCAAAATCTTGTATTTGTTATAACAAAATTAATTAATTCTTTTTTTCTTTGTTTAAAATATTTAATCCATATTTGAATTATATGAGTTGACATTATTACAACTAATAATAATACAACTAGCCATGCCTAAATAAATAAATTCATATGAATTATAAATCTAATTAAAAATTAAATCTTACTCTCCATGCTTCTTCAATTGGATTAGTTAATTTAACAAGTGCAAATTGAACAAAAGTAACAATTCCAACAATAGTCCACATTATTCCAGTTAATCGACCAATATATGCAGATGGAAAACTTGAAATAATAATATTATTTATTGAAAGATTTAATGAAGTAACTTACAATGTTGATATAACAGCTTGACATGCAGCAATGATTGTTGCTCGTGATAAACAATTTATTATTAATATTGGAATGATTATATTTGGTGATAAAAACATTAATATAATACATAAAGTAATATTTAATAACCATGAAGTTGTTTCAACAAGTGAAATATTTAATAATTTTTGTTTTCTACCTAAAAATTTAAATAGAAAAAAAAAAATTTTTTTTTTTTTTTTTTTTTATAAGATTTTACTTTTCTCAGCTTTAAATCCAAGTAAAAATCCATTTATTGGACAAATTATTATTGAAGATATTGTTGCAACATTGTATGCGAATGTATATTTATTTGCTAAAATAATTATTCAATCAAAAGTTATTGTACAAATGTCGGCTCTTATTTCTCTTTCAAACCATAAACGATTTATTTTTATTACAGATTCATAAATGAAATGACACAACAGATAAACAAAGCATCGCCTACATGAATTTGCATGGTTCATATAATATAAATCGAAAAAAAAATTGATATCAAGTGAAAAGCAACAATATCACAAGCTACTATGTAGTTAATTTACATTGATTGATACCACAACGATTATTAAACGGATTTTATCAGTTGTTTTAGTTTTCAATTAGAAATTTTAATTAGATGGTCACTTCTTGGTAAAAATTTGTTTCATCCATATTTCAAATATCTGTTCAATATGTAATAAATTGTTACTCTTAAAATATCTTGTTTTTATAAACAATCAGATATGAGCTGGCCTCGTAGCGCCACTCTATGGAAATATAGGAATTGACCACAACCATTTATATAGGATTTTCTCGAAATATATAGGATACTGATTTTTGCTTAAGTCTTTAGAAGTCGGAGAAATCTTTCAATTGCATTGAAGATTATAGACTATTTTATTTGATATGTTCTGATGAACTAAAGAAAAATATCTTCGACTTGTGAAAAACAGTATCATAATAAAGTATTTCTTTGAGAAATAAAAAAATAATAATTTGTGTTTGATTTATTTTCAACTACTCTACAGATACTGACCTATAGGATTATAAAC